CAAAGAAAGGCTGAAGTTACTGTGTATGCATGTAATGTTACTTTTTTTTGTAAATATGGAGTCTGCTTTCTAATTTGCTTATCTCCAAACCACAGATTATACTCCTGAAGACTGAAAGTCCAATTGACAAATTGTCCTGCTTTAACAGAGTTGGGAATTCTGCATATCTCCAAATGTTGTTGAACTGCACCTCCCAGCATGCATCACAATTGGCTATGCTGACCAGGACTGCTGGGAGCTGATGTTCAACAATATCTACGGGGCCACACAACTCCCACTCTATACTACAGTAAAGTATCTCTTGACATGATTATCTATCTTAACATGTATAAAATAACAATGGCATTCTCTTTTCATATCTATTTATGGTTCCCAAAAGGCAATGGAACTTACTCCTATGTAAACCTGCATAAGATTGCAGCCTTATGCAGAGCAGATACATCATGGAGGTTTTACACAGAAGTGTCTTTTCATACACATGGAGTGTAAAAACTAAGGATTTTCTTTATTTTTTTGCATTCAGAGTGTGATGGAAGCGCATTCCTTGGGGGCTTTTAAACAGAAGCCAGATAGCCATCCTTTGGGGGTGCTTTGATTGTGCATTCCTGTATGGCAGGAGGTTGGACTAGATGGCCCATGTGGTCTCTTCCAACTCTAATATTCTATGAGTTTATGATAATTGTTGTTCATTCGTTCAGTCGTTTCCGACTCTTCGTGACCTCATGGACCAGCTCACGCCAGAGCTCCCTGTTGACTGTCACCTCCCCCAGCTCCTTCAGAGTCAAGCCAGTCACTTCAAGGATGCCGTTATGATAATTATGATAATTAATCCATAGTAAATCTGCAGTATAACAAGATCTGGTAGAACACAACAACTGCTAGTATGCAAGATACCATAAAGCTGTGTGAAACAACCAAGTGGCAGTGACACAGCATCAACTATCCTCAGACTGCTATTCCCAAAACTTGTCGTCATTGCCCGCTCTTGAAGAAAGAAAATTGCTACACACCACATAACCAACTGTGAGCCCCTAAAATGCCTTGTTGCCCTCAAGTACGATTAATTAAATATTTCCAAAACTTAATTAAGATGTAGCTTCTGTAAAGTAATTGGAAAAGCAATATCTTGATATCTGGTACCAAAACATTTTGAAAAACCTCATGGCCGTGGAAGTAATAACCTTACCTACTCATGCCTCCTAGATAACATCTAGAAATAAAATGTAGATGCTGTGACCCCGATACTATCACTCTTCTTTGCTTGCATGCAATTTTATCATCATTACGAGATAAAGAAATCTGTGAGCTTTCAAAAATAGCATGTGTTTTGGACCTTTTGGTTGGCCTTATAAAAAAAATTCTCTCACACAGATCCTTATTTCCTTATTTCCCATCCAGACAATCTATAAATAAAGGGCTAATAATTCTGGATTTAGGGTAATAATAATAATAATAATAATAATAATAATAATAATAATAACCACCTTTATTTCTATCCTTCTTTTCTCCCTCACAGGATGCAAAGCAGCTTACAACATATTAGTGTCATAGAAACAACAATCCAAACACATGTATCCAGACCAATAAGAAAACCAATAAATAAAATTAAAATGGGCAATTGAAAAACAATATACATGTATGTGGCATTATTTTTGTTGTTATAATGAGACAGGGCAGAAAGCATTGCATTGTTTTTCTTAAAAGAATCGTTCTCACTCATCATTCAGGAAAGTTATGGGATTTTGCATATTAAACTGGAGCAATTTTTGGAAGACACCAGAAACCAGTTCTTCTAAAGAACATTCATATAATGTCCTCTCAAATGTCCTTCTTACTAGGGCAGGATGACAAAACAATTCTAAAGTTATTCTCCCACAATCTATCAATATTGATTATGTAAAAATGGTTTCTTCTACCCAATAAAGCTCAAACCCCTCAGTTCTGTGCCCAGAGTAGACTAAATAAAAATCTTATTACCAATTACTCTTAATATCAAGGCTCTTAATTCCAGATCAGTCAGTTTACATCAGCTATTACTTTACCTCAGACAAATGTCCTTTTAAATGCATTTAACGTGACAATGTTGTTGTCCAAATATGTACAGGCTTTTGGCAAGTTTGGTCATAGTAATGGTATTCCTCAGCCAAGGAAGGCATTAGATAGTTTACATCAACATTTTCAGCAGTCAAGAATTCTCTCTGATATGGAATGACTCAGATTTAATTATGTAATCAACATAACTGTAAAGACTTAAATGTCTATGAAATATGTCATTCCTTCTCCATAGCTGTGTAGGGACAAAGTTTCCCAGTCAGTGCTCTATGCTCCTCTTGTGCATTTCTCCTACTATTTCACCAGTCTCAGGTACAGCGGAATTTCCAAAAGTTCTATTTCTCCTGCAGTAAGTCCTGAACTCTACTTGTAAGTACCAGCTACAGCAAATCCATTGACTCATTTGAATATATGTGTCAATTTACACATTCCTTCCATGGGTCTACTCTAGTTGGGAGTAACATTAGAATTCAGTCCTTGGTTTACATTCAGGAGATGGCTGGGAAAATGTTGGATGAGGGAGTATCATGATTCAAGCAGGAGAGTAATGGAGCCGTGCTAAGCAAATCAAAGTACAAACTGCAGCACTAACTATACATCAGGGAAACAGGCAAAGGAACATCTGCATTTCTCTCCTTGTTTCCAGTCAGCCTTGCTAGTCATAATAGTCTAGATGGGGGTGATGATTGTATGATGGGAGTTCTCATCTAACACTTCCAATGGGTGACTGGAATGGTTGAAAACTAGCCTAGGACTCTTGAAACCAGAGTCCAAATACCTGCTCAGGCATGGAAACCCATTGTATGACCATAGGCAAATTGCACCCTCTCAGCCTTAAAGAAAGAACAACTTGCCATAATGAGTCCCCTTTAGGGTGAGAAGGGCGGCATATAAATGTTGCAAATAAATAAATAAATAAATAAATAAATAAAATAAGTCAGAACTGACTTGAAGTCACAGAACAACAACTTTCTTAATAAATAAAATCCTACCAAGTGAAATGAACTGCATTCCTGGAAAACCAGGAATGTTGTTCCTGAATGATATTTTGTGCTAAAATATCACAAACATATCTCTTTGGTTCTGAATGAAAGAAAAACCCACAAAGACTAAGATTTAGAGACAGCAAAGATAATTCAAAAGGGCTCAGACTGACCAATTAAAAATATTCTATTCAAAAAATGCCTAAAACGCAATGATTTGAATCCCAACTCTGTTGTATTATATGAGATGTTCTGTGTATGTGATGTAATTGAATGTAAGGTGAAGTGACAGTAATCCAATAGATAAATTTGCCCAAAGGGTAGATTTTGGGAAGTCCTGTCATTACTGTACCAGATCTTGTTTTGTGACTTCATAAATTTTATGTGTGTGCATTTTCTTTAAATGTGGATGTGTATTATCTGTGTATGCTTTGCGTGATTACAGCCTAAATAAAAACAACTATTCAACCACTCTTTGTAATTTGGTTCTTGCTGAGTCTTTATTTCTTTTTATTCCCCCCTTAACTGAATACATAACTGAGCTAGTCACCAAAAAAAGCATAAAACTGCCATATAACTGAATAGAGGAACTAAAATAACAGATAACCACTTTTGCCATAATGATAGCTTAAAAACTAAACTTTCCTAATTTCAGGCAGTTATGTCTCTAAGAAACTGGGTACACAGGAGGAAATGGCAACCTCTATCATGAAGTGGCCACGTCTGGTTACTGTGGTGGCAGAATGCTGGACCAAAGTGGACATTGGGTGCTATTCAATGGTCACATTTCCTTCTTTTTTGTGTCACCTTCTTGGCTGCCCTTCCATGTAGCCCTTAACCCTCTAACACAGGAGCAAATGGAGAACATTTTCCCTATCTTGCAACACAGACTCACACAGAGGATTGAGGTGTGCCTAACAACCATTCTCAAGGTGCTTCTTACCCACTTATATCTTTATACCCCCACAAACTATTCTATCAGTGACAACAGGCACACATTCAAATAAGTCCCTGTTTATTGTCAAGGTACAGGCAGTTCCCAAGTTACAAACAAGATGGGTTCTGTAGATTTGTTCTCAAGTTGGATTTGATTAAGCTGCTTCTTAAAAAATTAACTGCAGCCATATGTGTGTGTGTGTGTGTGTGTGTGTGTTGTTTAGCTTCAGATAGCATAGGGAAGGGTTAACACCCCTGTGGTGTTTGTTTTCCTAAATGTGCCCCTGTGTTCAGAAGATTTCACCTCACTTTCTGTCCCTGTGAAAATTGGATTTTTTTTTTTAAATGGCTTGTTGTGGAAACAAGGTTTGGGGATAAAACTTCAGTTCCCCATCATCACGCTTCCAGGAGTGAATTCCCCTCCCTGGAGTTACTCCTGAATAGAGGAGAGGTCGATGTCTCTCACTTCCTGTTGTCTCAGCCCTGTTCCTAACTATGAGTCGCTTAATGTGTTATCGATTGCTGTAAGTTTTCCGGCCTGTATGGCCATGTCCCAGAAGCATTCTCTCCTGACGATTCACCTGCATCTATGGCAGGCAGCCTCAGAGGTTGTGAGGTCTGTTTGTAAGTCGGATGTTTGTAATTCCCTATTTCATTTCAAGTCTCTCTCGCATATGACAGGGAAACTTCACGGGAGACCACACAGTTTGTTATCCTTAAAGCCCTTTGGTGGGCATCTGTGTCGTTCTGCTGGACGTGGGGGGGGGGGGTCACATATCTGATGCAGAGGTGCCCTTTGTCACTTGTGGGGACTCTTTATCAATCGGAGAGGCGCCCAAAGTTCGCCCCTATCTCTCCCCCGGGGATTGGGAAGGAGGCCCGCCAAAGCCGGCTGGCTGCCCTCCTCTCGGCCGGAGGTCCCAGGCCGGCTCTGGCGGGGCCGGGCCTTCCTTCCCTTTGTAATTCGACGCGGAGGCGCGTCCCCCGCTCCCCCGCCCTGTCCCGCCGAGCCCCGCTCCGCGCGCTCACCGTCCTCGTAGTTCTTGAGGTAGTAGTCGGGCCCGGGCCCGCCGCGGCTCTTGGCCGGGTTCTTCACGTTCTGGAACTGCAGGAAGTCGGTCCTCTTGCCGGCGAAGCGGAGGAAGGCGGGCGCCAGGCCCCGGGCCAAGGTCACCAGGCGGCGGGAGCTGCGCGGAGAGAGAGAGAAAGGAAGGAAGGAGGAAAGGGACGGCGGAGGAGTCAGGGAAGGAAGGTTGGGAGGAAGAAAAGGAAGAATGGGATGACGGAGGAGTCAGGGAAGGAAGGAAGGGAGGGAGGAAGGGAGGAAGGAAAGGAGGAAGGAAGGAAGGAAGAAAGAAGGGGGGAGGAAGGAAGAAGGGAGGATAGGGAGGGAGGGAGGGAGGAGGGAGGGAGGGAGGGAGGAAGGAAGGAAGGAATTTAGGACGGTGGGGGTTTCAGCAAGGAAGGAAAAAAGGGAGGAAGGATGGAATTTGGGACGGTGGAGGAGTCAAGAAGGAAGGAAAGGAGGGAGGGAAGAAGGATGAAAGGGAAGAAGGAAAGTAGGGAGAAAGGAAGGAAGGGAAGAAGAAAAGAAGGGAAGGAGGGAGGGAGGAATGAAATTGGGACTTAGAGGAGATAAGAAGGAAGGAAAGAAGGATGGAAGAAAGGATGGAGGGAGGGAGGAAGGAAGGAAGAAAGGAAGAAAGGAAATGAGGAAAGAAGGAATTTAGGATGGTGGAGGAGTCAGGAAGGAAGAGAGGGAGGGAGGGAGGGAGCAAGGAAGGGGGCTCCTGTGCTCACCTAAGAGGAGCCCACAGAACAGGAAACTTCCATTCAAGAGATTCCCCCACCACCACCACCACCATCCCGCGGTCGGAGCGGCGAGGAGAGGATGCTGCAAGGCATCCTGTACACCTGGGGCGAGGCCCCATCTCCTTCTCCCCCCCCCCGGGCGCCTCCTCCTCCTCCTCCTGCTGCTGCTCACCTGAGGAAGTCGAGCCAGCCGTCGTGCAGGACGGCGGGGTCGATCTGGAGCGAGAGGAAGCGCTCGCTGGTGATTCGGCGCGGGCTGCGGGGCCCGACGTCGAGGAGCACGAGGGTCCTTCCCGGGGCGGCGGCCGGGTTGGCGGCGGGAGCGGGGGGTCGGCGTTGCGCGGCCTGCGAGGGCAAGGAGAGGTGGGCCAGCAGCGCCAAGAGGGCCAGGGCGCCGGGAGGGGCAGCGCCGGGGCAGGGCATGCTGGGCCCAGGCCGCCGAGGCTTCGCGAGCAAGTCCCGCGCCGCGCCCAGCCCCTCACCGGACGCTCATGGTCCGGAGTGGGGCGCGTGGGGGCGCGCGGCCTTTTTCTCCCTCCCTCCCCCTCCCCTCCCCTCGCCCTCCCTCCCTCCCGCCAAGGCTTCGGTGCTGCGGGGGAAAGAGGGAGGGAGAGGTGGAGGGAGGGAGGGAGCGCACGCCCCTGGCCAGCCTTCCCCGGGGCCCGGGCCAAGACGTTCACCAGCGCCGCCTCCGGAAAGAGACGCCCGCGGACACCTCCACGCTCCCGCCGAGGCAAAGGGGCGCCGCCCTCCCGGCCTCAGCATCCGGGGAGAGAGCGAGAGGGGCCACCGGAGGTGGGGTCCACAGCCAGGCCTCCCCGTCCCGAGACCTCGCCTCCCTTCGCCAGGACTCCGAGGGGAGGGCTGCCATGCTTTGGCCCGGCCCTGGCCTCCTTGCCCTCTCGCTGAACAACTGAAGAAGGTACGCACGGTAACACCGGCGTTTCTCTGGGCAAAGGAAGGAAGCAGGCCCTGCGAGGAGGAGCCCCGACGACACGCCTGGACCTCCAAGAGCAGCCCGGCTTGCTGTTTCCGTCCCTTGCTTTCCCTTCCCTTCTCTTCCCTTCCTTTCCCATCTTTTCCCATCTTTTCCCTTCCCTTCCCTTCCCTTCCCTTCCCTTCCCTTCCCTTCCCTTCCCTTGCCTTGCCTTGCCTTGCCTTGCCTTGCCTTGCCTTGCCTTGCCTTGCCTTGCCTTGCCTTGCTTTGCTTTGCTTTGCTTTGCTTTGCTTTCCATTCCTTTCCCTTCCCTTCCCTTCCTTTGCTTTCCTTTCCCTTCCTTTCTCTTCCCTTACTTTCCCTTCCCTTCCTTTCCTTTCCCTTTCCTTCCCTTTGCTTCTCTTCCTATCCTTCCCTCCCTTTCCTTTCATTCCCCTTCCCCTTCCCTTCCTATTTCGCCAGCGAGGACGATCCTCGGGAGATGACACGCGTCCCACCGGTGAGTCAGTCCGAGCCCCGGCCGGGAGGGTTTCTTTCCTTTCTTCCCTCTCCTTGGCACCAACTTGCTCCCCATCCTTTGGAGATATGTCCCCCTAAACTCAGGGCTATTCCCTCCCTTGAATAGAAGATGCTCCCATCTCTATTGTTCCTCAAGACAGGCCTTTCGTACTCTCTTGAAATATAGGTGTAAACACAGGACTCCCGAGATGGGCTTGGGACAGGCATGAGCAAACTTCGACCCTCCAGGTGTTTTGGACTTCAACTCTCACAGTTCCTACTAGCCTCAAGCCCTTTCCTTTCCTCCCTCAGCCGCTTAAACAGCTGAGCGGAAGAGGCCTGAGGGCGGCTGTTAGGAATGGTGGGAGTTGAAGTCCAAAACACCTGGAGGGAGGGCCCAAGTTTGCCCCTGGTTATGATAATGTCTGTTGTTTCCTTTTAAGGACTTCCCTGATGTAAACATAGGACACCAGTGATGGGCCTGGGACAGGCTTGAGCAAACTTCAGCCCTCCCTCCAGGTAGTTTGGACTTCAATTCTCACATCTCCCGAAAAGGAAAGGGCCTGGGGCTGTTAGGAATGGTGAGAGTTGAAGTCTAAAACATCTGGAGAGCCCAAGTTTGTGCAGGCCTAGTTTATAGACCCCTAGACAGGGCTACTCCTCACCACTTGTTGGAGACCAGGGTCTGCTTTCTTTAGCCACACAATTCCTGGGACTTCAGGATCACGATAAACCTTGCCTCCAACCCTTGGGACCAAGAAGTTCCCTTCGATGGCTCAGCTAAAACACCAAAAGGCAGTCTGGGCAAGATAGCTCTGAAGAATGGGTTCAAACAAATGACAACTATGTCTCGCCTCAGAACAGGGCTTGAATGCAGGAGAATCCTTTTTGGACACCTCTCCGGATCTTTCCATACTTCAGGAAATAAAGCCAGACGGCTCAATGGAGGGAAGGGTATTAGAGGCCAAGATGAAGTACTTTGGCCACATCATGAGAAGAAAGGAAAGCTTAGAGAAGAGAATGATGCTGAGAAAAATGGAAGGGAAAAGGAAGAGGGGCCGACAAAGGGCAAGATGGATGGATGGATGGTATCCTTGAAGTCACTGGCTTGACCTTGAAAGAGTGAAGTACTTTGGCCACATAATGAGAAGATAGGAAAGCTTGGAGAAGATAATGATGCTGCATGAAATTGAAGGGAAAAGCAAGAGGGGCCGACCAAGGGCAAGATGGATGGATGGTATCCTTGAAGTGACTGGCTTGACCTTGAAGAAACTGGGGTTGAGAGGCGGAAAGGACTGAACGAATAAACAACAACAAGGCACTGATTATCAGGGGAAGAAGGAGAGAGAAGGAAGATTGGCTTTTACAGGCCAGTATTTCCTCGGACCATAGGGAAGGCTGAGCGAAGGAAGATAGATGCTTTTGAACTGTGGTGTTGGAGGAAAGTGCCTTGGACTGCAAGAAGATCCAACCACTCCATCCTTCAGGAAATAAAGCCCGACTGCTCATTGGAGGGAAGGATAGTAGAGGCCAAGATGAAGTACTTTGGCAACATCATGAGGAGACAGGAAAGCTTAGAGAAGACAATTATGCTGTGGAAAATGGAAAAAAGGAAGAGGGGCCGACCAAGGGCAAGATGGATGGATGGCATCCTTGAAGTGAATGGCTTGACTCTGAAGGAGCTGGGGGTGGTGACGGCAGACAGGGAGTTCTGGTGTGGGATGGTCCATGCGGTCAGGAAGAGTCGGAAGCGACTGAACGAATAAACAACAAACAACATTTTCCTGGGAAGGAAGTGGCACTGCTTTTCCCTGGCGTTGTTTTCCAACTCTATTCCAAGCCATCCGGCTCAATCATATTAATTCATAGGGGGTCTTTGGAGGCCTCTAATTCATAGGGTGGCCCTCAACAGTAGTTGACTTGAAGGCGTCGTGTAGAACCGAATTCCCGCCGCATTCAGTGGGATTTGTTCCCACACCCACATCCCGCCTTGCAATGTTCTCAGTTGTGTGGAACAGCGGCCTGAGTGCTGGTGGAGAAGGACTCAGGGAACTGGGCTCCTATCCTAGCCGTGAAACCAATGGGTAGTCTTAGGCAAGTCACACTCTATCAGCCTCAGATGACGGCAAAGATAGGACCCCCCCCCCCAAAAAAACTTAATGAGAAAATATCAGAATTGCCTTTCTGTGAGTCAGAAACCACTTGAAGGTAACATCACAACAGTCTTGGAAAATGCAATCCCACCCTCACTATATTTAGGCTTTGAGGTCTGGCTTCAGACTCTGGGGGGTAAATCTCCCAGGCCAGGCATGGGCATTGGGCAAACTTAAGCCCGTGCCTTGCGCTTCAGCGGCTGAGAGGGAAAAGAGAGGGGGCTGAGGCTGTTAGGAATGATGGAAACTGAAGTCCAAAACCACCTGGAGGAACCAAGTGTGCCCATACCTGCTCTACATGATTGAGGATTGGGAAAATCGGCGTGACTCCTTCTTGGAACTAAAGGGCGTCTTTGATTTGTGTCCCTGAAATTAAGGTTTTCCCTTAACATTAAGTCTAGGGGTTGGTGCTCATCTCCATTTCTAAGCCGAAGAGCCGGCGTTGTCCGTAGACACCTCCAAGGTCATGTGGCCGCCATGACTGCATGGAACGCCGTTACCTCTCCCCCCCCCCCCGAAATTAAGGTAAAGGTAAAGGTTTTCCCCTGACATTAAGTCCAGTCGTGTCCGACTCTGGGGGTTGGTGCTCATCTCCATTTCTAAGCTGAAGAGCTGGCATTGTCCGTAGACACCTCCAAGGTCATGTGGCCAGCATGACTGCATGGAGTGCTGTTACCTTCCCGTTGGAGCGGTACCTATTGATCTACTCACATTTACATGTTTTTGAACTGCTAGGTTGGCAGAAGCTGGGGCTGACACGGAAGCTCACCCCGCTCCCAGACCTTGCTGTCAACAAGTTTAGCAGCTCAGTCCCTGAAATTACCCAGACCAAATATGAAGTCTCGAAGGGAGGGGGGTTCGTCCTGGTCCAGTTGGGGAGGAGTTGAAGGGAAATAACAGGCGACGTGGTGGGGATCCTGCCCTCCCTCCTCTTTCAGGAGTATTTCTGCTCAAGCAGACCCTGCTTGCAAAAAAAAAAAAAAAAAAAAACCCGCTCCAAACTCACAACAGTAGCCCGTCGGGGTCATCTGGCCCACAAGCCTGTCTTTGACAGTGTCCAGATGCAAATACCCCAGAAAGCTTTAAAGGGCGGCGAGAAGGGGGGGGGGTGCTCTTCGCCTCTGGATGTGAGGAAGGCTTCAGGGGGGAAACACTCACCTTTATTTATCTGCATTGCCTCTCTTAGCTAAGACAAAAGTGACTGATGGGGTTTGCTCTCCTAGCATTTATTTATATTCAAGGGTGCCAGGGTTTGGAAGAAATAAAGTCGCCCTTCGATTGGAAAAGCGCTGTTTACCTGTTGAATTCTATGGCGGTTAAAGTGATGTTGAACTAGATTAATTCTACAGTCCAGATGCACCCGAGCTCCTTGCAAGGCTCCGTCGCTTGGGTTTCTTTCCACTTCGCGTCCTTCCACATGATTCGTTAGTCCTTAATCTGTAATCCTGCGAGAAAGAGGCCGTTCAGGTTTATTTTTTCTCCTTTTCATTCACACCCTTCAACTATATTCTGATTTTTGTCCACTTGTCTCTCCATCGCTAAAATCCTTGTCCTTGTTCTTGGTCGGTTTTCTCTTTATTTATTGATTTCCAGCCCACGTTTCATACATAGGTGTATGTATGAGTATGTATGCATCTATGCACATATAGAGAGAGAAATTATATGTATATATACAATCTGTGTGTATATAGAATCTTATATATGTATTCTATATATATGTATATATTGTATATAGAATATGTGTGTATATAGAATTCTATATATGTATTCTATATATATGTATATAATATATATATAGATATGTGTGTATATAGAATTATATATACTTATTCTCTCTCTATATATATATAGAATATGTGTGTATATAGAATTTTATAGGTGTACACATACATACACATAAATACATATAGTCCCGCTACTATGTATATAGTGTGTATATATATATGTGTGTATATATAGTATGTGTATATAGAGTGTGTATATACACACATGCACACATATACATATAGTCTCACTACTATATATAGTGTGTATGTATATATGTGTGTATATATATTGTGTGTATATATAGAGTGTGTGTATATACACACATACACATATATATAATGTATCTATCTTTATACATACATACATACTATATGTAGTATATATACACACATAGTATCTGCAGTGGATATATAGTGTGTACATGCAGTATGTATGTGTACATATACTATATATATGTATAGATAGATATAAATACATTTTAAATATAATGCATCTGTTCATACTATATATAGTGTATAGATAGTATGTGTATACTATATATAGTATGTATAGATAGATATACATTATATATTATGTATCTATATCTATCTATACATACTGTATAGTATATATACACACATAGTATAAATCTGCATTATATATAATGTATCTATATCTATCTATACATACTATATATAGTATATATACACACATAGTATATAGAGTGTATATGTGTGTATACTATAATAGTATGTATAGAAAGAAATAGATAGATACATTATATATCTAATTATCTATCTGTCTATAATGTATCAATCTTTTTCTTTATAAAGTATACACACGCGCGGACACACTAAGTTGAGACCCCCAGATCCGGCCGAAATTGGCTTTGAGATGCATCCACACTATCAAATTAATGGAGTTTGATACCACTTTAGTTGACGTGGCTCCATGCTATGGAATCCTGGGGTGTTCCGTTTGGTGAGGCACCAGCCCGCTTTGCTAGGGAAAGCTAAAAACCTTGTCAAACTACATTTCCCTCGATTCATTGGCTCCTGGCGGTGAGAGCGGGGACACAGAATGACAGGATGGGCGCCTTTGAGGGAGCTGCGCTGCTTGTCGCTGTCGCCTGTCCTTAGAGCCCCCCCCCCCCCGATCTGCATCCGGCGCCCTCCAAACGCGGTGCCGCAGCCAATCTGGTGCTGCCGGAACCTTTCTTGTTTTGTTGTTGTTTTGATGACCACAGGGGTGAAACTAGAGTTCTTCCCTGGCAACTGAGCATTGGGGACGTGTCTTGAGAAATCCTCTCCAGGGATAGGTTCCCGAAGGTGGAGGAAAATCCCTCCTTTGGTCCTTTTCAAGAAGAGGGATTCCTTGGAAGTAAACAGCGCTCACGCCTCCGACAGAGCCTTTCTTGCCTTGTACGGATTTCACTTTAATTTGCTTCCCAACGTTTTTCACCACCACGAATTCGGCTAGGATTTACTGCCCGCGCTGAGTGATCTGTTTGCCTTTCTCTAACCTTGGGATAGAATCATAGAATCACAGAGTTGGAAGAGACCTCATGGGCCCTCCAGTCCAACCTCCTGCCAAGAAGCAGGAAAATCTCATTCAAAGCATCCCCGACAGATGGCCATCCAGCCTCTGTTTAAAAGCTTCCAAAGAAGGAGCCTCCACCACACTCTGGGGCAGAGAGTTCCACTGCTGAACAGCTTTCACAGTTAGGAAGTTCTTCCTAATGTTCAGGTGGAATCTCCTTCCATGTAGTTTGAAGCCATTGTTCCGCATCCTAGTCTCCAGGGCAGCAAAAAACAAGCTTGCTCCCTCTTCCCTATGACTTCCCCCCACATATTTCTACATGGCTATTATCTCTCCTCTCAGTCTTCTCTTCTTCAGGCTAAACATGCCCAGCTCTTTAAGCCGCTCCTCATAGGGCTTGTTCTCAGACCCTTGATCCTTTGGACACATTCCAGCTTGTCAATATCTCTCTTCAATTGTGGTGCCCAGAATAGGACACAGTATTCCAGGTGTGGTCTGACCAAGGCAGAATAGAGGGGTAGCATGACTTCCCTGGATCTAGACACTATGCTACTGATCCAGCCCAAAATCCCATTGGCTTTTTTATAGGGCATCCATTGGACCACATCACACTAAAAAATGAATTCACTTTCAATCCGATTGTTGGTCTCTTGCAGAATTCTGGGGTTTGTGGTTTAGGGAGGAGCCTTTAACAGCGTCACTAAACTACAAATCCCCAAATTCTATGGAGGCAGAAACTGGATTTAAAGTGGATTCATTCTCAAGTGTGTGAATATGTCAAAGACGGCTTGAAGAAGGTAAACAATAAATAACAACAACAGTGTCAACAGAGCGAGGTGAGGAACGATCCGGCTTGTATCTCAAATGGGTTGTTGTAGGTTTTTCGGCTGTATGGTCATGTTCTAGAAGCATTCTCTCCTGACGTTTCGCCTGCATCTATGGCAGGCATCCTCAGAGGTTGTGAGGTCTAGAACATGGCCATATAGCCCGAAAAACCTACGACAACCCAGTGATTCAGGCCGTGAAAGCCTTCCACAATACATTGCATCTCAAATGTTTGGGGGATTGGTATAACTCCCTTCGCTCCCTGACTCCCAAATGTTAGCCCTGTTTCTGGGTATATTTGACCTGCTGGTTCCAACCTTAAAAACTGTGGCATAGAGAGCTCGAGGTCAACTGTGACCAGCAGTGCTGCAGAATTCGAAGAAGCACAAATGGAGGGCCACCTTCCACCTGGAAACCGATGCCCTCTCGCCCATTGCCTCTGCAGCCCCGTGCCAGCTTTCCTTCTTCATTGCCCAGTCTTGTGGGTGCCAAACTAGAAGTAAACTTCATGGAATGCATGAAGGTACATCGGTTTTAGATTTTAGGGGGAGAAGGAAAGCTTTAATGGCCGGAATCACTGGTTTGTTGTGAGTTTTCCAGGCTGAAACATTCTCTCCTGAGAATCTTACCATACATCAAAGGAATCACTGACCACAGAGGGAAGTTAATGAAGAAACACAATCTACAAACTATCTACAGACCCACTAAGAAAATCCAACAACTGCTACTTTCAGCAAAGGACAAGATGGATCCTCTCACATCTGCAGGACTCTATCCTATGCCATGCAGCTGTGGCCAAGTCTACATAGGGACCACAAAACACAGCATTGCCCAAACACAACCAAGGAACATGAAAGGCACTGCAGACTACTTCAGCCAGAGAAGTCAGCCATAGCAGAGCACCTGATGAACCCACCTGGACACAGAGTATTTTTTGGGAACACAGAAATGCTGGACCACTCTCACAACCACCATGTCAGGCTACACAGAGAAGCCATTGAAATCCACAAGCAAGTGGACTATTTCAATAGAAAGGAAGAAACCATGAAAATGAACAAAATCTGGCTAGCAGTATTTTTTTTAAAAAAAAACCTCTAAAATCTTAACAGTAAATAAAGAACAGCACTCAAAAACAGGGGAACTCCAGACAAGAAACAGTCAGTGCCAGCTCATCACCTTCCAAGGCAGAAAGCAGCTAAGCCTTGAAGCTGCAAGGCCATTAAAGGTGGTCAATTGAAATATTCACACCTACTTCAAACAGTCAAGAGTTATTTCTCCCACCCTGGATATTCCAGAGATATATAAACCCCCTTTTCCTAGTTTCCAACAGTCCTCACAATCTCTGAGGATGCCTGCCATAGATGCAGGCAAAATGTCAGGAGAGAATGCTTCTGGAACATGGCCATACAGACCAGAAAACTCTCAACAAACCAATAATGTAGTATGCTGCATTCAGCTATTTGATATCTTCTCATTCTCGGACTTCATTTTACACCAAGGCAGGGGCAAACTTGGGCCCTCTAGGTATTTTGGACTTCAACTCCCACCATTCCTAACAGCCTCAGGCCCTTTCCTTTTCTCCCTCAGCCGCTTTGCCCATGTATGCCAGTGATAATGCCTGTTGTCTCCCCTTTGAGGTGCCTTTTTAGGATCTTCCCTGGATCTTCCTTTTCTGCTTTCTGTTTTTCAGAGACTTCAACTCCCAGTATCCACCAGCTAGTGTGGCTAGAGGCAAGGGGATTTGGGGAGTTGTAGTCCACAGGGTAAGCTTTGTAAGTTTCACCTTGACTTTGCGATCAAGTTGGGATGTCTCATGATGTATCAACAGATCCTGTTTTTGCCCATTTCTTGACACTGGAGGAGAATAGAAGGGGAAAAAATAAATTTCTAAATACAATTGATTTTAATGATTCCCTGAATTTCACTCAGCTTAGACTCCCAGGGTTTGTGATTTACTCCATATTTGTCACTTTTGTTTTGATATTTATTTAACTGTGAACACAATGTTCCAAAGCTAAAACGGCTGGGTAAATAATAATAATAATAATAATAATAATAATAATAATAATAATACTTTATTTATATACCACTCCATCCACACTGCCATATATATATAATCCAGATGATCTGCTTAAAACTGGATTATATGCCAGTGTAGACTCATACAATCCAGTTCAAAGCAGTTAATGTGGAATATCTGTTTTGATAACCTGGCAGTATAGGTCCAGGGATTCTTATCTTAGCCAGTAGAATAGAGTTGGAAGAGACTTCATGGGCCTTCCAGTCCAACCCCCTGCCAAGAAGCAGGAAAATCGCATTCAAAGCACTCCTGGCAGATGGCCATCCAGCCTCTGTTTAAAAGCCTCCAAAGAAGGAGTCTCCAAACACTCAGGGGTAGAGAGTTCCACTGCTGAACAGCTCTCACCATTAGGAAGTTCTCCCTCATGTTCAGTTGAAGCCATTGTTCCTGGTCCCAGTCTTCAAGGCAGCAGAAAACAAGCTTGCTCTCCAGGCCAGTAGGCTGTTAGGAATTGTGATAGTTGAAGTCCAAAACACCCAAGTTTGCCCATGCCTGGTTTACAAGGTCTGTAGCCTTCTCTGCCAATGAGTGCTGGTGTCTCACCAAACTACAACGCTCAGGATTCCATAGCGCTGCACATTAAAGTCATATCAAACTGCATTAATTCGACAGTGTAGATGCACCCTGGATTTTGACTGGATGGTCCTTGTGATCTCCTCCAACTTTATGTTTCCTTTATTCTAGCCGGCAGGGGGCGCCTTCCACTGAGCCTGTGCCTTTTCTATTGAAAGAGACCTGTGGCTTCTCTGGAGAGGAAGAAGATGAGGCGTGCTTTGAGCGCCCCCTGGGGGCAGAAAGCCCTGCTTCTTGGCAGCTGAGGGTAAGCAGCAGATCTGAATGCAACGGGAGGGAGTGAGAACCATCGGAAATCTATACTGACCATGTAATGCCGTTCAAAATGCATTGTTTGACAGTGTAGATCCAGCCATAATGTGGTATAACTTCCCTTCCTCTGAATGGGATGATACATAGCAATTCTGAAGAAGCGACATACAGGGAGCACACCACACCCCTGTTGTGCCAGCTCCACTGGCTGCCGGTTCAGTTCCGAGCACAATTCAAGGTGCTGGTTTTGACCTACAAAACCCTGTACGGTTCCGGTCCAGTGTATCTGTCCGAACGTATCTCCCTCTACGTCCCACCCCGGAGTTTGAGATCATCTGGGGAGGCCCTGCTCTCGACCCACCACTATCACAAGTGAGGCTGGTGGGGACGAGGAGCAGGGCCTTCTCAGTGGTGGCCCCTCACCTGTGGAACTCACTTCCGGGGGAAATTAGGGCATCAACATCCCTCCTCTCCTTCAGGAGGAAGGTAAAGACGTGGTTGTGGGACCAGGCCTTTGGGCAATCTGACAATTAGAGAAGATAATCAGGCGAGTATGACCAGGACTGACAATGTGGAATTGAAAATGGAACTATGAGATAGCGAACGCTGACCGTTTATGAGGAGGAATTGGGTTTGTATTGGTTTTATTGATTTTATTGTTTTTTATAGTTGTAATGTAGGAATTGTTGTTTAACTGTGAATTGATGCTATGTCTGTTTTTGACTGTTATGTGATGTGGGCATCGAATTGTGCCTTTGCTTTGTAAGCCGCCCTGAGTCCCCTTCGGGGTGAGAAGGGCGGGGTAGAAGAAACCGAAATAAATAATAAAAATAAAGAATGCAAAACAATTGCTATGAATTTGGTAACAATGTTGTCTTTATTGTTGGCATACAATTGAATCCAATTGTGATTGGCATAGGCCCATGAAATCAATGGACTTACACAAGTGTTGATTCACCACCCAGTAGTTGATTTAATGGGCCGATGATAGCTGGAACTGACAATTGCATTTTGCCCACTGAACTGTCACTCAGAACTCAGATCTTTTTTCATACAATGATTAATAATAACACTAATAATAACACTTTATTTATATTTCGCCCTTCTCACCCCGAAGGGGACTCAGGGCGGATCACAGTACACGTACACGGCAAACATTCAATGCCGCTTTGTATAGACAATGCACAGACAGAACAGAAGGAGGTGCCATGGAAGGTTGGGCTCTAGTCCAGGGGATGCTATTGTTCTATCCTCTATGATGAAGAGCCGTCAGGACTTCCTCCTTCCTTTTGGTCACCCAACATTTTCTGATCTCCTTTCTTTATGGTGTCATAAAACACCTCCCCCACTTTTAGCGGTACCTAATTTCTCTAATCACAGCTAAAGCTGTTTTCAAATTGCTTAGGTAAACAATGAGCTAGGCTGACAGTTGGCAGCTCACGCCAACCCGGGGCTTCGAACTTGCAACCTTTCAGTTGATAGATCTTATAATTGCTGATCATTTACCAAGTTTAAGTTTTATTCCTAAAGTGTCAACAATTCAGTTCCATTTAATTCAGTGGGGTGTATTTTTCAAATACACACACACATATAAGCTGTCCTTAAGTTACAAACATGTGACTTACAAACATTCGACTTACAAAGCTTTATCACCAATTCTTGTCTCCATAGCAAGTCATTTTTTCTCTAAAATCCAATTATCACAGTCAGAAAAGGAGGTGAAATCTTCTGTAAAGGAGCATGTCCAGCAAAATGAACAACTGCAGAGGTCTTAGGTAAAGGTAAACGTTTCCCCTGACATTAAGTCCAGTTGTGTCTGACTCTGGGGGTTGGTGCTCATCTCCATTTCTAAGCTGAAGAGCTGGCGTTGTCCCTAGACACCTCCAAGGTCATGTGGCTGGCATGACTGCATGGAGTGCCTTTACCTTTCCACCAAAACAGTACCATTTGCATGTTTTCGAACTGCTAGGTTGGTAGAAACTGGGGCTAACACCAGGAGCTCATCCCACTCCCTGGATTCACACCGCCAACCTTTCGATCAGTAAGTTTAGCAGCTCAGTGGTTCAACCCACTGAGCCATCAGGGAGTGTTAACCCTTCTCTATTTCATCCCTATTGCATCCAAAGCTTTATATCTATCTCTATCTATCTATCTATCTATCTATCTATCTATCTATCTATCTATCTATCTATCTATCATCTATCTATCTTGTTGACTGCCTATATATATCTATATAAATAAAAATGTAATGTTAATTTGTGGGATTAACATAACTCAAAAACCACCAGATGAATTGACACCAAATTTGAACACAATACACCTATCAGGCCAATGAGTGACCATCGCTCTTAAAAACCCTGAAAAACACAGCAGAAGAGACTTACAAAGCCAAAAAACAAAAATACATTAGAACGCATGTGCAAAACCACACATATATACACAAACACACATATACACATATATACACACACAAAACAACATATATACAGACTGGGCCACACACAGCAACGCATGTCAGGGGATGGCTAGTGTGTGTGTGTATGTAATCAGAGGTGAATTAAATGGAACAATCATGTCCAGCGATTATTGTACTGTTTCAAAGAAATGAACAGTGATAGTTCTTCAACTGTTTGAAAATATTATCTCCACTTGTTTTTAATCAGCAGATCAGTGGAAAGCTCCAAGCATATGCATGAATTTCAGCATGTTGTAGATCAGCCAGAGGCTGATGGTTTAACTGATGATTTAGAGAGGATTGTTGGCTTTCCTGTGGCACAAAGTGAAGGGCCCTCAAGTCTGGGGGATTCAGTTCTGAGAAATTATGTTTCTCTCCATGAGAAAACTGGCTCGGAAAGTTTAGGGCCTCAAGTCCAGTTCGAGGAGTCAGAAGTAGCAATTGCAGTTAAGGAATCAAACCATCTATAGCTAGAAGATCAACAAAAGTCTTCATTTACAAATTAGAGCTGAAAACAGATTACACCAGTCTGAGAGATAACATGGGAAAGTTGGGGAGAAAATTAGTGGCAGACATAATGCTTTCATGGGTGTCTATTAAACAACAAGGTGTTTACCTTAAGGATAGTTCAAACAATGCTGTGTTAGAGTAAGAAACTAAGCCTGAGTTCTCTTGTCTTGGTTCAAGTCAAGCCTTGGTTTTGGATTTTAATATCCTGAAAGTTTTCTATGTTCCTGTTTATGTACTCCTGTTCAAGTTTTTACTAGTTATGCTTTCTTGCTTGTGGACTTATGCTGTATCTGTGATTTCTGGCTCTTCCTAGACTTTGTAACCTCTGAAACTTTATGAGACACTTGGATTATTGTTTGGTTTTCACCGGTTGCAAAATCTTTTAGGATTTTATATCTTCCTTTCTTATTCTTGCTTTTTAATATGCTTTTTATGTGTTTTGCAATAAACTGTTTGCTTATATAACTGGACTCTTGTGTGGTACGGTGGTCATAGGTGTTTCCAGACCTGGAGTGCAACATAGCATTTGTCAGGTCTCGTGGAAGGGATGGGAATCACTTAACTTCTGCTGGATATTTTACAATGAACCTTTCTCTAATTACCTATAGATTGTTCTGTGAAATTCATGGGACACATAAGCGGACATGTGAGTTGACAGTAACACACATACACATTTGACTGCTATTAATATTTATGTAGTTGTTGTTCTTCCACTCACTGAATTCTGAATTTATTCCGTTCCTTCGGAGTCCTAAAAACTTGTATGCATGTATGTGCCTCCAAGTCACATGTTGACTTATAGTGATCCCATGAATTTTGCCAGTTCTTTCCTCTGAAATATAGCTTACAGCACATGATATTCATTGGCAGTCTTCCATCCAAGTACTTAGCCAGATATCAGGGGGATCTGGTGCCTTTAGAGTATTTAGGCCTCACTAAACATATACTCATAGACATATTCCATAAAAGTCTGTGTGTCTGTCTTGTATTAGTCTGACCCTGAATGTGTTTTCTTGTAATGATACATTTCTAATTTATTAAGTATAGATATCGCAATTATATACATATTTATATGTTTACTTGAAAGTATGTCCAACTAAATTAAATTAAACTGTTACTTAGCAGATAATTTAAAACTAAGCCCCACCAAAGTCTTTGCACATTCACAATTATAGCACAATAATTATAGCCCACATAATCCCGAGGATTTGTAGTTTTTTGGGGGGGTGTATTAGAGTTGAAAATTAAAAATATCCCTCCCTAAATTGCAAGTAGAGCCCCCATGGTGCAGTGGGTTAAACCGCTGACCTGCTGAACTTGCTCACCAAAAGGTCAGCAGTTTGTAACTGGGGAGCAGGGTGAGCTCCTACTGTTAGCCCCAGCTTCTACCAACCTAGCAGTTTGAAAACATGCAAATATGAGTAGATCAATACTTACCTGTGGGAAGGTAACGGCACTCCATGCAGTCATGCCAGTCACCTTGGCGGTGTCTACAGCATTTCAGCTTAGAAATAGAGATGAGCACCACCCCCCAAAGTTGCACATGACTAGACTTAATGTCAAGAGGAAATCTTTACCTTTACTTAAATTGCAAATTCAAATCCAATAGGGTGTCACTATGGCAGTTAAAGTGGACTCGTCACACTTGCCACATTGTACTACATTAAGTTGTTAGTCCAAACTAAAATAGATTCATAGAATCAATGAAATCTATCTAAAAGTTGACTCACTGGGTTTTCTTTGATTCAGTAGATAATAATAATAATAATAATAATAATAATAATAAGTCAGTTCTTGTGGGTTTTTTCGGGCTATATGGCCATGTTCTAGAGGCATTTCTCCTGACGTTTCACCTGCATCTATGGCAAGCATCCTCAGAGGTGAGGTCTGATAATAAGCTTTATTGATATCCCGCCCCCTCTCCCCGGAGGGACTTGGAGCAGCTTACCACAAAACAAACGAATACAATAAATAATATAAGACTGATAATAATTGCATATCAATTAATAAAAATAAAATAGCACCATAATTTAAACCTAAATAAATAAACAATGTATAAGGCCCTCTAAAACCAGTATATCTACTCTAGTTGGGACTAACAAATAGAATTGCTTCTGAGTCAGGCCTGGCAGACCACACCCTAAAGCTCTGTCTTAAACTTGTCTCTTAAAACCAATTTATGTCTTCACAGTTCTTAACAAATCTGTCATACTTATTTGCTTTCCAGAGAATATGGGAATATAATATTTTTAATTTTAATTTTTAAGTGACATAACACTTTAACATATGATACAGTGTTTGTTTTTAACTGCTTTTCACTGTTACATAAATTAAAAATAAAATAAAAATAGGAAAGATAATATTCCCATACTTTCTGAAAAGAAAATAAGTTGTACAGTTTGTTAAGAACTGTGAGAAGTATGAAAGGACGGCTAGTAACTTTACTTACCTGTAATTATTTTATGTGTATGTTTCATCTTCATCAGCATCAAACAACAGTAAAATTACCAGCCATCCTATCATACTTGTCTGATTTGACATTTTGGCATTGTACACCATTAGGTAATGTATATCTCTCAGGGATGCTTTGAATTCAATTTTCCTGCTTCTTGGCAGGAGGTTGGACTAGATGGCTCACAAGGTTTCTTCCAACTCAATGATTCTATGATTCTATATGCCTGTCTTCAACAAAGCTGAATTTCATCCAAATTGATTTACAAATTAAAGGACGCTGCCCAGGAACAATCTAAGTGCTTTTTGGGGGAAAGCAGTGCAGTCCTATAATGTCTGCTCAGAAGCAAGCCTCACTGAGTTCAATGGGATTTATTTCCAGATCTGAATATAGCATTGCATCCATAAGTATTAATGTGTGCCTTCTGATCCTCTCAAAGTATAGTGATCCTAAGGCAAAATTATCATGGTAAGATTTGTTTAGAAAAGATTTGCCTTTGCCTTCTTCTGAGGCTGAAGGAATATGACTTGCCCAAGGACACACAGTAGGTTTCCATGGATGAGCAGGGACTCAAACCTAGATCCCTCAAAGTTGTAGTCCATTGCTTAAACCACTGCACTGACACTAAGCAATAAGCATATATTTAGATTTTCTTCCCCACTTGAGTCAATGAACCTAAAAACATTTTAATTTGGGTTGAATTATTCCCATAATTTTCCTCTGAAACTTTAAGTTTGCAGGGTATTTTTCGTATCAGAAGCGACTTGAGAAACTGCAAGTCACTTCTGGTGTGAGAGAATTGGCTGTCTGCAAGGACATTGCCCAGGGGACACCCAGATGATTGATGTTTTACCATCCTGTGGGAGGCTTCTCTCATGTCACTGCATGAGAAGCTACAATTCGACAAACGGGAGCTCACCCCGCTCCCTGGATTCGAACTGCCAACCTTTCGGTTGACCAGTCCTACCAGCACAAGGGTTTAACCCATTGCATCACCAGGAGCTCAATGGGTTGAACTATTTTAAAAATTTCAAGGAAATTGCAGTGAAAATAACTTCATCAGAAGGGGGGGAAAAGTGCGCTATATGGCATTTCACAAAAGTCCACACTTATAATACTTTGTGACTTGGCAAGGTGTTTTTTTCAGATTTATTTATTTATTTACTGTATTTGTATACCGCCTTTCTCAGCCTTTAATCGGCGACTCAAGGCGGTTTCCAACAAATCAGTACACATAAAATCATAATGCAAATTAAGACATTAAAACAGTATAAAAAACAAGAAAAATAAAAATAACATCATTAGCGTCTCCTTATGATCAGCATTGTCCAGTTCCACCGTCAAGTCATTCGATTTCCTATAGTTAGCTACTCTGCATTTGTAAATGCTTGCTCAAACAACCATGTTTTAACTAGCCTCTGAAACGTTAAGAGGGAGGGAGCTGATCTAATCTCCCTAGGGAGGGTATTCCATAGCCGAGGGGCCACCACTGAGAAGGCCCTGTCTCTTGTCCCCGCCAAACGTACCTGAGACGAAGGCAGGACCAAGAGCAGGGCCTCCCCAGATGATCTCAAAGTCCTCGATGGTTTGTAAGAGGAGATGCGTTTGGACAGGTAAGTTGGGCCAGATTGTCATTTCCAGTAGCTGGGGGATTCTGGGAGTTGTCATCTCCCCAAAGCCAGTATCCCAAGCTCTGTGTCTGATAATTAGAATTCATTCATCCCATGGATTATCTCACTCCCCCCACCCTAAGTCTGTTCCTCGTGGGGGGTCCACATTGACTGAGAGACTGCAGTGAGGTGCTGAGCCATGGCTGGGCAGGGCAGCAAAGCCTTGCCTGTTGAGGAAAAAGATTTACAGAAAGCAGATGATGTAAGTGAATCCTGCACAGTATAAAGTAACCATCAAGCCCCTGGGCTTCTACCCCAGTGGACCCTCCAGCCTAGCCTTTGATGAACTAACGCTCACCCGCAGCCCAGCTCTGCTTCAGATACTGTTTCAAACAGACTGGTGAAGATTTTTCTTTTTCTTTTTGCCTTGGTTAAGATAAATGGAGAATGTGGGGGTGGGGAAGGAAGTGTCTTCCCCCATTTCTTTCCTCTGTTCTATGAAAGCCAGGCTGGGTGCAGAGGGAGGAGGGCAGAGCCAGGGTGGGAGGTGGCGTCAGATCCCACAACATCTCATAGAGATCCCAGCTTTGCCTTGGCCTCTTCAGGGAAGGAAACTTAAATTAACTGCAGCAGGATATGCTGGTTGCGGGTGGGGGAGGCAGGGCACTCGGTTCTCAAGGCTCCAGTGGAAGGAGGGGAACCCCCTGTGCCCAGAGACCTTTCTGGCAAAGTCTGGGCACTGCCTTCTCTGACATGGCAGCAATTGACGCAAAATGAAGAATGGCGTGGCCCAAGAAAACTCCCAATGCCAACAAGAGAGATATTGGGAGGGGAAAGGCATCATGAGTGTTGACTTCACCAGTCCTCAAGCTTCTGATCCATCTAACAGTGGTTTAGTGCAGGAACTCATCATGGCACTGCCCGCTTATGACACCCACACAGGCAGCTATCACATTAGATATCATGTCCATTCATATCAACAAAAAAATTCTAGCAGTTTTAATTTCTACCAGGAGCTGTTCTTTGTTCAAGTCAATTAATCTCAGCAGAGAAAAGCATATTTAGTAAGGTTGTTTTTGAAAGTAACATATTTGAAGAATTTTAAATGCACAGATTTTCCGGAAGTTTGCATTGAAATCATGGTACAGTAGAGTTTCGCTTATCCAACATAAATGGGCCAACAGAACGTTGGAAAAGCGGAAATGTTGGATAATAAGGAGGGATTAAGGAAAAGCCTATTAAACGTCAAATTACATTATGATTTTACAAATTAAGCACCAAAACATCATGTTTTACAACAAATCGACAAAAAAGCAGTTCAATACATGGTAACGTTATGCAGTAATTATTGTATTTACGAATTTAGCACCAAAACATTGTAATGTATTGAAACTGCTGTGGATCTGGGCGGGAGGCAGACTGTATTGGATAATACAAAAGGTTGGATGAGCGAAGGTTGGATAAGCAAGACTCTACTGTACTTCTGACCTTATTCAGATCATCGTAATAAGATGACAGGGATTGCATGAATTGAATTCCTAATCACAGTTACTTAGTTTGTACAAATACTTTGCTTATTGAAAATATTATATTTTCAAAGGATGTGCTCTTTTTGGAAGCTTGGGAATATACTTTATAATCAAAATGCATTCAAACCAACACGTTTTCTATGTGGGACTGTGTTGGGGAAGGTTTGTGTGACACAACAATGAGAAACACTGCAGAGGTTCATACCCATGGTGTTGGGCTGCAGCTTCCTTTTAGAATATTGCTAAAGACATTTCCCCTAATAATATTTTTTTTTGCTCTGAGGACAGTTTGAGTTCAATTATGTTTGGGATGTTTGGTTTTTTGTTTTTTTGGGGTTTTTTGCACTTGTTTTGGAGCTATGTGTTTTATAGTACATGGCAGCAGCAGGAGTATCACAAAATAATGTCCACCAAGGTGAGGACACAGAGTGGTTTCAGCATTGGACTACAGTATTACTCTTGAAAACAGGGCTTGAACCCCATTTAGCCATGGAAATGCAGTGAGTGACTAGTCACACTCTCTCAGCCTCAGAGGAAGGCAAACAAAGCTTTCCGATAAAATTCTGTATTAAGTTCACTTTGTGGACTTCATATCACAAATGGCTTGAAGGCATACAAAACAAAGGTAAACAAAAGTGGACTTGTGACCTGTATAAGATATATTTCACATCTTTTCTTTGCTTTGCAGAATTTCGTTTTCTTCTGGAGCCATGATCATGCACAAGGAGTTACACTGATGGTCAAAGGAGCAAATATCCTTTTGTTGAGAATTCCAACCCCTCAGCCTTTGAGACATCAACAAACTTCGCTCATATATCCAGGTTATCTACCCATATCAATAAAAGAATAACTATCTAATACATTGTTTTGGTGCTTGTGTAGCCCAGCTTATAATTTTTGTCTCGCCTCAAAACATGTCACAAATTATTAAGAATATATTCATTGTCTGAACACCACTATATACTTCCTTCAGTGAGGTAGAATGATTTTGTACAAGGCACATGCATGTGTGTGGACATGTACTCAAGCACACACACACACATGCATACATGCAAAGTCAAGCAGAATGTCAGAATTCAGAGTTTAAAACTGCCTTTATGCAGCAGATAAAGAAGCCAACGTGATTCTAGATTGTATCAACAGGAGTATAGTGTCTAGATAAAAAAAAATATCGCACTACTATTCGGCTTTAGTCAGACCTCACCTGGACACCACATTTCAGGAAAGATATTGACCAGCTGTAATGCATCCAGAAAAAGGTGACCAAAATGATAAAAGTCTAAAAGCCAAGCCCTACGAGGAGCAATTTAGAGAGCTGGGTTGTTTAGTTTGGAAAAGAGAAGGTTAAGAAGTAACATGATAGCTATGTTTAAATATTTAAAAAGATGTTGTATTGTGGAGGAGGCAAGCTGGTTTTCTGCTGCTTTAGAGACTAGGACACAGAGCAATGGATTCAAATTACAAGTAAAGAGATTCTACTTAAATGTTGCTTGGACTGTGGTGAAGTCTCCTTCTCGGGAGGTCTTTAAATGGAGGCTGATGGCTATCTGTCAGGAGTACTTTGATTGTGTATTCCTGCATATTACAGCAGGGGGTTGGACTGGATGGCTCTTGTGGTCTCTTCCAACTCCATGATTTTATTATTTACTTACTTACTTACTTACTGTATTTATATCCTGCCTTTTTTGACCCTGGGGGGAACTCAAGGCGGCTTACGGCATACGCAACAATTCAATGCCTTAAAAACAATATACTTCCAATATACAATTAAATAAACAATTCAATTAAACATTTAAACGAGATTAAGAGCATTAAAACATATAAAACATTGCAATTACAACTATAAAACCACATTATCTGCAATCATAGTCTATGATTTCCAAATATATACATTAATCCATTTGCGTCCTTTTTTTTTTTATCACAACTGAATGTTCTTTGTTTCTAAAGCATCAATACAGACATTTGTAGGACATCCAAAGCTTCACTTTGTGCTGAAGTACACTGCACATATCTCTTGTGGGAACCATAAAATACACAGAACCTCAGAAGTTGTTTTGCCTGTCATGTCGTCATGAGCATATTATGCAAATAATATGCAAGCACCACAGACCTATGTTTACTCATGTCCAAGAATGGAGATGTTTGTATTCATTCATTACATTATTCCTTCAAAGGGCTTATGGCAAAACACAAACCTTACAAGAAACCTATAAAATAGGTTAGGATGAAATATAGTGATTTAAGATTACTCGGGGAGCCAGCATAGTGTTGGACTATCATTCAGGAGACCAGGGTTTGAATCCCTGCTCAGTTATGGGTAACCTGGGGCAAATCACAGTCATTGAGTAACCTGGGGCAAATCACAGTCTCTCAGTCTCAAAGGAAGGCAAAAGCAAACACATTCTGATCAAATCTTGCCAAGAAAACCCTTTGATAGGTTCATCTTAGGGCTGCCATAAGCTGAAATGACCTGAAGACACAGAACAGAAACAAGATTACAAAAGTCAAGATCTCATTTGGCCATGAAACACCCTGGGGACTGAATTGGGTCGCTTCACTTTTAGAACAAGACTTGAACTGCTGAAGCTAACTAACTCAGTATTAATGGAGGAAGGCCAGAAAATCCTGGAAAATTGTGTTGGCTTATCAAAAAATCAGGCTATTATGGTTTTGAACAGAACTTTGAATAATCATCTGGAAGAAAAAGGCTGTGATAATATGACGATACTCCTGAAAGACATTAGGATTGATAGACTTGTTACAGTCTCTATAAATGTGTTTCTATTTTTCCAAATGGAAGTTTTTTTGTATCAATTTTTAAAATAGATTTTATTGGCCTTAGTTTTATGTTTTTGATCTTTTTTCCTGTGTTTCTTTCCATTTTACTATTTGAATTCTACTTGGTGGCTCATAATTCAAACAAATAAACATAATTTATGGGTTGCTGTGATTTTTCCATGCAGTATGGCCATGTTCCAGAAGCATTCTCTTCTGATGTTTCACCTACATCTATGGTAGGCATTCTCAGAGGTTGAGGGGTCTGTTGGAAACTAAGTAGGTGAGGTTTATATATCTGTGGAATGTCCAGGGTGGGAGAAAGACTCTTGTTTCTGGAAGCAAGTGTGAATGTTGCAGTTGGCCACCTTGATTAGCATTTAGCAGTTTCAAAGCCTGGCTGGTTGCTAACATGAGGAAATCCTTTGGTGGGAGGTATTAGCTGGCCCTGATTGATTCTTGTCTGGATTTCCCCTGCTTTTTGAGTGTTGTTCTTTATTTACTGTTCTGATTTTAGAAATTTTTTAAAAAAATACAGGTAGCCAGATTTTGTACATTTTCATGGTTTTTTCCTTTCTGCTGAAATTCTTGTTGGAATTCCAGACAATAATCAATCGGGGCCAGCTACTACCTGCCAAAAAAGGACACCCCCCCCCCCCCCAGGCAGCAACCAGCCAGGTCATTAAATGCTAATCAAGGTGGCAAATTGCAACACTCACATCTGCATCAAGCAGACAAGAGTTCTTTCCTCCACCCTGGACATTCCACAGATATATAATAAACCCCACTTACTTAATTTCCGACAGACCCCTCCAACCACCCCCCCCCCCCCCCCCCCCCCCCCCCCCCCCCCCCCCCCCCCCCCCCCCCCCCCCCCCCCCCCCCCCCCCCCCCCTCAACCTCAAAGGATGCCTACCGTAGATGTGGGCGAAACATCAGGAGGGAATGCTTCTGGAACACGGCTGGAAAACTCACAGCAACCCATAAATTATATTTATTTGTTTGAATTATGAGCCACCAAATAGCTTAATTTCCAACAGATACCTCGACCTCCAGGAATGCCTGCCAAAGATGTGGGTGAAACATCAGGAGGGAATGCTTCTGGAACATGGCCATACATCCTGGAAAACCCACAGCAACCCAGTGGTTCTGGCCATGAAAGCCTTCAACAACACAATTTAATTTATGCTTAGATGGACCACCAAATATATTTTTAAAATGCAATGGTTAGGATTTGAAAGCTGACACATTTTTTCTGAGAATTTAGGGATAACCCTCCTCTCAGCCAGAAAACAGCAGAGAAGATATTGTTATTACTGTGTAATCTCAAGTCATTTCTGACTTATGACAACCCTATCATTTGGGGGAGGGGAGGGGAGTGATGTGTTCAGGGTAGGATTTTGTCATTGCCTTCCTTTTAAGATGAAACAGTGTGACTTGGCCAGGTCACCCAGTGTATTTCCACAGTTGAGTGGAGATTTGAACCCTGTTTTCTTAGAGCCATGTTCAAACTGCTCTGCCACACTGCTCCAGACATTAAAGGACCAAAACAAAATAAAAGGAAAATGAGAAAAAGTACATCTTGGGCCAGGCCTTAATCATGAGCTTCATAGCTTGCACCACTTGAAGATCTGGCACCCAGTTGGTGTGAATGGGTTGTTTCTTTTAGACATTAGCATAATTACTTCTGAAAGCCTGGCTCCTTTTAAACTCTTCCCCCTGTAAATATTTAGCCCATGATTTTGTTAGGCTTGTAAATAAGCTTCCCCTTTCCTCTTCTGAGCTTGCTGTTTTTAATCATAAAAGCAGCCTTGGAAGGGAAAAGAGAGAGAGAGGGAGACTCTTAAGAGGTGAAGGAAGGGGCTGCATGTAACTTCATCCAGAGGGGGGTTGGCCAATAAAGCTTCAGGCCTCTGGAAATCTAAGGAGCAGCAGGGTTGATCTGGTCAGTCATGAGCGCCAGCTGGATGCCTGGACAACAAAGCAGTTGAAGCGTACTCTTGTCGGGGCTTTCCTGCAGCTTCCATTGCAACCAGTTCCGATGGCATAGTGGAGCCAGGAATCTTAGGGCTGGAACACCAGCATTTTCTGATTAGCAATCCCCACATGTTTTCCTGTCGCCCTTGAGCTTTGTTGAAATCTTCATTGTAATTGGGGGTGGGATATTCAATGAACTTCCCCAACAACAATGTACGATTATGACCTGCAAAGCGCTACCCTGGTTGTAAATTAGCTTCACAATTAAAATCCATTGGCTTCACAAAAAAAACAAGATTAAAAATTGATCATCCCAGCTCTCATACATTTCTGGACTGCACTTGGCAGTGTGGCTTTGGAGGGCTGCCACAATAAGCACCTGAATTAAAAATTTTATCACTGTACCACTGATCAGTTCCCTGGATAAGCTGAAAAATTGTGACACACTGCAGTGAGTTGACTTGGGAGTGTTTCTAGTTTTTTTCAAATGCCTTTCAGTTGTCCTACATCACATAACAAAACACAAGGAAAATATCTCACTGAACTCAATAGCACTTTTTCTGTTAACATCTGCCTGAAGATTGAATCACTCCACATGTATTCAAAAACCTCACAACCTCTGAGGATGCCTGCTATAGATGCAGGTGAAACATCAGGAGAGAATGCTTCTAGAACATGGCCATACAGCCCGAAAAACCTACAACAATCCAGTGATTCCAGCCATAAAAGCCTTCAACAATATATTCAAAGTTGATTTTCAATCGTATTTGTAAATGAAAGAGCCTCCTATTTCATCACAGGGGACTTTTGTGTGCATTTCTAAAACATTTGGTGGAGAATCTTAATACAGAGAATAATGTAAGGTCCTCCAGCTATTTAGCATTGTTGTTCCTTCCACTTTTGTATATTGTCTATTTGGTATTTGTTGTAAACATGTAGGGATGTTTATTTTAGAAATAAATTCCATTATGTTTGCTCTTTCACAGTTGTTTTGGACTGTAACCTTGAGTGAGCTGCATATAACAGAGTGTTTCCTTAACTCTTTCAGGCTCCTCAAACTGCTGTAAGGGTGCTTTTTGTTGTTGTTTATTTGTTCAGTTGCT